TAAATTTTATTTCGAATATAAGTTGTTGTCGCTTCATTCGCTATTACTAGGACAACTGCTATAGGGTATTATATATAAATACTACATTATCTAGAGAAATAGTTAGACTACTAACTTCTCAAGGTATCGTAGTACTTTCTAGTAAAAAAGTGAAATCTCGTAGCTAGAGTAGAACGTGTTCGGCAGACGTAGTCGGCGTATAAACCATATGACATAATATGAAATATACTAGTGTAGATATATATAGAACCCCTGTCCTGATTACTAATTACCTTCCCGCGCGATCCGACATACTCGAGAGATAAGCGGCTTAGCGATTTCCGGGTCTTCCTTATACCTACCAACTTATCCTCTCTTGCTTTTTTCTTATCCTACATATTCCTACCAAGTCGAAACTCTCAAAATGCCTAACATAGACACACAATCTCTCTCTTCCTACGTCTCTTCCTCTCTTCCTAACGACGACGACGACTAGGAAAGAAGAGATAGTCCGCGTTAAAAAGAAACGAAGGCTAAAGCACTCCCGAAGGCTGCCTACGATAGCGGAAGTAATAAGAGGACTCGACAGTGGTTAGATCAGACGGTTAAGCCGACGGAGGAGAGGCAGACGGAGGAGAGGCAGACGGAGGAGAGGCAGACGGAGGAGAGGCAGGCAGATAGAGGTACAGGTCAAGTTGATAATAATGAGACGAACGAAGATTCAGACCTGCCGACCAAGCGGCGTGGTCGAGACGGGGTAGTATCGGTTCAACCAAAGGGGCCACATATTATCTATAATGGATCAGACCGACAGCTCTCTAATACAGCTTCCCCTCGACTAAGTCTCGCCGCAAGGAGACTAGGACGTACGAAAAAAGTGGTACAGAAGACCTATCCTAGTAATAAGAGACTACTAGGAAGTCAACGACTACAGAAAAAGCCTGTTGTTCGAAAGGCGCCTAAAGCGAGAAGACGAACGAAGGCTGGTGTAGCCGCTCTCCGAGAAATCAGGAAATACCAGAAGTCTACGGAGCTTTTAATACGCCGACTTCTATTCTCAAGGATTTGTCGAGAGATTACGATGGATTTGGCAACTAATGCTAGCAATAGTGTATGCCGTTTTCAAGCTGAGGCTCTACTTTGCTTGCAGGAAGCAACGGAAGCTTTTCTTATACAGGAGTTCGAAGTCTCTAATATACTAGCGATTCACGCAAAACGGGTAACCTTACAACAGAAGGACATGAAACTTTGTCGCTAGATTCGGAAGCGCTTCGTAGGAGAAGCGAATTCAAGTGCCGAGCTTTGATCTCACAGCAATTCGCCGACTACGTCTGCCGACCATGTACTCCTGACATCGTTTTCGAGGCTAGTACTTGAAGAATTAGTACCAGATGTGTAAGATAACCCGAAAACGAGCTTCCGTAAGATGTTGTCTCCTGTACTAATTATATCTATATAAATCTCTAGGTCTCTTGTTTACGGGCTAGGCACTGCTTATACGGTCGTTATATCAACATTTCCTATTTCCGGCGATCTCACTTTACTATTTCTTACTTCTATTGTCCAAAAACGGCAGGTGCCTACCCTACGTAGACAAAGAATCCCTCGCTTCTGATTGGTCGCGCCCCTGGACCCTGAATTCCGCCGCCTTCAAAGGTATTCCCTACTTCCAAAAAAACCTAACTTGCGACATCAACATTGGTTGTTGACCCCCCCCCTTCCGCCCCGCCCCCTACCCGCTACAACCCCTCCTAGCCTCCGCCTGCTGCTCTGCCTGCTGCTCTGCCTGCTGCTCCGCCTGCTGCTCTGCCTACTACACCGCCTGCTGCTGCCATCGTTATAGCGCCGTCACTCGCAGCGCGCCGCAAGCTTTCAATCGCTAGAAAGGTACTACGAACATCTGGAAAGAGACTCCCTAGCGCAACAGGTAGGAAAGGGCTTCTATCCGCAGGTGTAAAGAAAAATCAAAAAAAGAGAGGCAGTAAGTATACCTGGTCGGCAGACGTAGTCGGCACATATAGTCGGCATGTACTAACATTTCTTTTAGAGGGAGCTTTGTAGGAGATCAAAAAATGCCAGACGGAGGTTATAAACTATATCCTAAAGCTCGCGTTCGCACGTATCGTTAGGGATGCTATCATCCTTTTTACCGAAGACTACCTCCCTATATGGATCCAAGCGAGCGCACTCGGCATCCTCTAGGAACAGTGCGAGAGCATAGTGACGAAAGTCTTTTCGTTAGCCAATCTTCTCGCTATCTACTACAAGCGAGTTATAGTAATAGCGAAAGATCTCGAATGTCTTCGTAGGCTGCTAAAGGAGTAGAATGTCTGGCCAGACAATTACGTAGTTGCTCCCTATAGCTCTGGCCCAGTTAACCCGAGTACGATATATAAGCCTCGATCAAAGACGAAGAAGACGAAATCGAAGCCAACTCCAAAGAAGCCGACTGCGAAGAAGAGAAAGAAGACTCCCGCGTCCTTAAGCGAAGACGAGAGCTCAGATGATCCCGATAACCCTAGCGCTCAAACGGGTACTCAAACCGGTACTAGTGGCCAGACAGACGCCAACAATCAAGATCCTCCTAGCACCGATTAGGATAATAGCGACACCGGTGGCCAGACAGACGGGAACAATCAAGATCCTCCTAGCACCGATTAGGATAATAGCGACACCGGTGGCTAGATAGACGGGAACAATCAAGATCCTCCTAGTACCGATCAGGATAATAGCGACACCGGTAGCCAGACAGACGGGAACAATCAAGATCCTCCTAGCACCGATCAGGATAATACAGATACTAGTAGCTAGACAGACGGGAACGATCAAGATCCTCCTAGCGCCGATTAGGATAATAGGGGTTTGAACGATTCAGACGGTAAGAAGCAGGCGACTATCGTGATTTCGAGCGGTGATAAGAGCTCGGAATACGATCCAGATACTGATCCTAGCGTTCAAACTAGTCATCCTCTAGCTAACAAGGAGAATGCTTAGGACGATAATACGGTACCCCCAACGACAGAGGATGAATATCTCTAGGCTCTCCTCGATCATGTTAATGCCCAAGAAGAAGAAGACGAGGAGATAGCTTCCGAGAATTCAGATTTTCCTTTTAGGCAACTAGGTATACCGCTTAGTCAAGCAGATTTTCAGTATAGCGACGAGGATATAGGTACCTAGGATCAAGATATCTCGCTTAGCCAAGACTACAATCCTTTCGATCATCCAGATTTGGAGGAGACGGGTCCTGATTCTCTCTAAGAGAGTCGACCAGATGTAGAGAGAGAGGATAAAGAAGAGGAGTCGCAGTAGGAGTTTGACGAGGAGATAACAGAATTAGAGGATATAGCAAGGGCAGCGTATACGGTAGCTATAGATCAAGCGAATAATCGGGGTACGTAAGAATTCGTAGCTAGGGGAAGTATCGACAAGATACTAAGTATACTTGTAGAAGAGCCTATTACCGAACGAGACAGACTAGAGACAGAAATTTCAGCTCGCTTTATCCTTGGAGCTACTTGTTTAAGGACCCTATTATTAATAAGGACGGAGCCGGCTTTCCAAGCGGCCTAGCGAAGAATAGAGATACGTAAGGCCTAGAGAGTAAGGCAGCAGCATATAGTAACCGAAAGTCGGTTTAAACACTGGATACGCGTTCTAGCTAGGCTAGAGAAGGAGATGTTAAAGCATTCACTATAAGCCTAAGATCTGAAGTAATTTGGTTTTTCTAATTTTCGTAGTCGGCAGGTATAGTCGGCAGGTATTATTAGCTATAGAAGGAGATGTCGAAGTACTTACCGTAAACTCCTGAATTAATTTGCTTTTTCCCAATTCTCGTAGTCGGCAGGCATGGTCGGCAGCTATTGTTAGCGAGTTCAGGCAGTACGGTATATACGAGGCTTATTACTGTTCCAGAAGCGCTTACTATGTTTATTCTATATCTAGAAGAGGTTTTACGTAATACCCATCGCAATACCTATTGGGTATACCTATTGGGTTTTTTCCGTTGGGTTGTACCTAGCTTATAAGCTGGGTACCTACCTTATTTGCGGGGTTGGGTATTAACGTTGGGTTGTACCCAACCTATACCCAACCCAACCTATAACGAGGCCTAAATATACCCTACGATACGGATACGTTCTTAGAGGATCTATAGCTTCTTAATAGCGACTATTATACCGGTACGCTTAATATCTACGAGGACTTAGTCGAGGTTAACGATATACTCGACAATAAACCGCCGTAGACTAGGCTCGAGTTCCTCTCTACTATAATTAGTCTTTAGCCTCTTAATACTAATGTCGTCTAGGAAGGGGAGCGACCGGTATAAGATATAATCTATAAGAATACGAGTTATAATCCGGACAAATTGACTAACCGAATTCGTAGCGCCCTAGGATAGAGTAGTCTGCCGGAACAGGCTAAGATAAGTCTAGAAAGCCGTAAGATCTCGACTCTCTTTAGTAAGAGGGACCTAATCGTATCTAGAGAAAATGTTAAGGAGGGAAGCAACCTTATACCCCGCAAAGTGCTCGGCGAACTTATCTGTATTAGGCAGTAGGCTAGCGTCGCGAATAGTAACCCGGTTAATCTCCGTCGTAGAGTTAATAAGGCGATAGTATTCCTTAGTAGGCAACTGACCGGGGGCTAAGGTTTTCTTCGTAACTAGGAAACATAGATTCCGATAGTAGCCCTTACTATACTCTAACGTCCTAGCTTTATACCGGTCCCGGATAATACCCTCTATCGCTATAAGTAGAGAGGGATTAAGACGAAAACCCGGATAACTCTATAGTATATACGGGACTGTACGAATAACTTATAGTAGTACGATGCTAGGAATAACCTGCCCGAGATACGTAAAATTCGCCGCTAAAGCAGCCTTACGATTAAAGAGCATCTCTTCGAGTAGATAACGTTCCTAGGTTATTAAGACTATACCTATCTCGACTATACGCAATACCTCCGGAGTAAGTCGACTAGTACGACTACCCCGGAGGACATCCGAGAACTTCTTAATCAAGTAGCGCTAGTTATATAGTCCCGTCTCTAGCGGTATTACCGCCTCCTATCGAAGAAATAGTTCCTTCTATTTAGTAACAGTACCGATATTAGGGGACGTACTCTTCGAGACATCTACGGCGACGTCGATAGGCCGGATCTTCTACGCTTTCCGTTTGTATATAGTATATACTAGAATATAGTACGTAGTACAGGTATAGCGGGAGTAGGCCTAGTTAATATAGGAGTAATATAGTATCGACCGGAACGTCTAATTATCCTTGTCCGGATCCCCGTCAACGATATATATAGTATATATTCCTACCTTTTAACCTCCCTATTTACCGCGAGAGGCGATATTAGCCTAAATCTAAATTACGGAAGACCCGGGCTATACCGTACCGGTTAGGCTCCGGGAGCCCGACTAAATATTAGTAAGTACTAAAGACAAACCCGACGCGGACGCTATTATAGCTTCGACGCCGCTACTAATTTTCCCTACCTACCGAAGGTAACAAACTATTAGTAGCCTATATCGCCGACGGTACTAGTAAACGTTACCGAATAACCTACCGGGTCGGAGATCGTACCTTTCTAGGACCTATCGTTATAGTTTTTCGCAACTAACCTCGTCTTCCTCGTCTACGGGCGGCCTAGAATAAGAGGTATAGTATACGCTATATTCGTAACAAACGCCGTTACCGTAACGGTAACGCTATATACCGAGATAGGTAGTCTCTAATAGACGCCGACAATCCTAGTCAACCTGTTCGCCGTAGACATATTAATCTTATCTAGCTAGTACGTTATTAGCAAACCGTACTTCTAAACGATACTCTACTAAAGGATAACTAACTTAGTACCCTTATTAACTAGTCCCTTATAGACCTTGCCTATATTACTCCCGAACATTACTAGGACCTAGATACTAGGCACTATAGTATAGTCCTACGTTACCGCCGATAGATCAATATCTTTAGCCCTTTCGTAGAGCTACTCCGGTCGACGGAGGCGTAGGCGGGAAACTATAGCCTTATAGTCGCTATACTGCCTAGTAGCTCGGATTATCTAAACGAATATCCGGTTAGGAACCCTTTCGTAGAGGTACTTCGATCGACGGGAGCGCGGGCGGGAAACTATAGCCTTATAGTCGCTATACTGTCTAGTAGCTCGGAATATCTAAACGAATATCTAGTTAGGAACCCGAGCCGGACGACGGACATCCTCCTCCTCTACGCGAACAATCGACGTCTCGGC